GGTCGCAGTGGCCCTTAGCTATTGTGTCAATATATGGGGCTGACTTCGCGCCTTCCGCTCCCCACCTCCCAGTCGCAGCACACCTCTCCACGTTATGTTAATGTATACGGGTGACCTTGTGTCTCTCCTCCCCCCCTACCCTAGTCAAAGCGCCCCCTCTCCACATTATGTTAATGTATAAGGGTCACCTTGTGTCTCCCCCCCCCCCCCATGTCTCACAGCGCCCCTCTCCACGTTATGTCAATGTATATGGGTCACCTTGTGTCTTCCTCCCCCCTCTCCCCGAGTCGCAGCACAACTTTCCCCATTATGTCAATGTATGGCGCTAAATGGGGCTGACTTTGCAACCTTCTCCCTTCCCCACCGAGTCGCAGAGCTCCCATACTTATTATGCCAATGTATGGTGGTGTCTTTGCGTCACACCCGCTTAGTACATATGAGTTGTGGGTCACATTACTTGGCGTCTATCGCGTGACATGCAGCAGCAGAAGCCTAGCCAAGAAACAGTTAATGTGACCGCCTTTTCGACGTTTTACTCTCGCGTTGGCGTAGCGCAGGTTCCACGTTTAATGCACGTAAGTCGAAGAGGCTGCCCGTTTCGAACGCCAGCGCTTGGTTGCCCGGGAATGCAAGCGTCGAGGGCTACAAATGGGCGGAAGTGAGAAGCGGAAGCAGTACACCAGCACTCCGCTCCTCGACTCAAACTCGGCCTCAAGGGATCCTTAAGGCTTTCCGTGTTGTAGAAATTACAATGCGAAAACATTCCTCATAGATCCCTTGAGGTCGAGTTTGAGTCGAGGAACAGTTGCGAATACGGGATTAGGAGTTAGACGTACGCCCCTCGGAGCAGCAAACAGCAAGAAAAACAGACAAAAAAGGAGACCACAGCACAGGGAATAGTTAATCGCTAAACAAACTAGTTACTCACAGGAACAAAACAGAAAAGCATATAAACTATCCAAACAATAACCACACCCGAGGAACAAAAAAAAAAAAAGCGCGGATAAACACGAAGTAACCTCAAAGGGAGCCGCAGGCATTTCACGCAGCTTTCACCTAGGGTGAAAATTGATTAACTATTTTAGCAAAAGTATTCTTACGTTGTTTATAAAAAAGGTGATGTGAGAAAAGCCCCAGTCGGCACTTTTATTTATGTACGGGTATAGCTTTGAATTTTCTTGATTTTATTTTGCCCTCATTAACAACAGCTTTTAGCAAGTCCCACAACTGCGATAACTGCATGGCAATGCCTTGATTGCTGCAGCCAGCCCAATCTGTTTATTTATCACGACTTCTACTGCAAATAAAACAAATTAGGCGAGCAATTGAACTATTATAGCTCCCACGAAAGCAGACTCACCTTCTGTTAACATTAATCATCATTACTAAATACTGTAGATACCAAAGCTGTCCTCAGAAGACCCTTACGGGAAAATGCTGTACTCGGTGTCGCTGAACAAATGGATACAAGAAATGAAGAAGCTACGGCGACCATACGACAGAAATGCCGAGTAAGTGGCGAAAATTTCGTTCACTTTAAACTCCTCGTCAAGTTTATTGTCGAAAATGACACATCCTGCCTAAAGTATCAGAAACTCGCACCACGGTATGAAAACATTAAATTACATGTTATCAAAATATAATTGAAGCACTGAACACGCATGCAGGATCTAGTTTTTTTTGTTTCCACCAGATGCAACAACGTTTTCAACCAGGTGAAAAGCGTTAATCATCGTCGATAATCAAATATTCTTGCAAAAAAGTTTTGCTTGTCCTATTTTCTTTTTTTCATGTTCCCGATATTTTTGCATGAGTTTAGGCCTTGTAAGTTCCCACGACGATATTGAAATACACGTTAGCGCTATTCTCGTTGTCTTTACTTATATTTATGCGTATCCTTGTACACCCACTTTCGCCATAGCACACTTAGCGCTGTAGTATGTGTAAATAAATTAATAATAAATAAACAACATATTGCTCAGTTACATAAGATACACAGAAATAAAACAACAAATACTTTGTGTTCACCAGCTGATGGCCGGCAAGCAGAGAAAAAAAAATAACGCTGGCACGATATTGCTGCAATACCTAGTTGCGTTTGCTCAAACAACCCGTATATTTGATACCTTTAATGCCATAATTAAGATATGCATTTATTTACTTTTGTTGACTATACACTACTGCACTTTTTTTCTTGATTTTCTATGGTAATGTCCAGGCGTTACATATGAGAACTATTTTTTAACACATTATTGGTATATTCTTTTGTCAGAAAATGACGGAAGCAAGGATGCCGACACTGTTTTGAATGCCAAATAAAATTGATTGATTGATATACAAGATACCAAGTACATAAGAAGATAACAAGTGGTGTGCCAACATACTTGCATTACATTTATAATATGAGTACATGCACTGTTTTAACAGGAACCGTTGATCCACGAAAACATCAAGTTTGGCCCCTTGATGTTTTCAACCAACTTCTTAATACAGAGACGCCACCCATTTCAAGCTATCTGGCGGTCATAAATCTCCTATTCCGAACTACAAAAACTTGAAACGCTCACGTGCTATGCTATAAACCAACCGAACAAAGTAGCGGGACCTCTCTTCGTCAATTCACAAGCGGTCCAAGCTTTCCTTTTTTTTTCCCCAATTCTCTTCAGGTGGTTAGAAGGTGCTGCCGTGGTGAATGCGTTTTACAACCCAAGTGCCAACGAAATGGGTAAGCATCAAGAATCAGTGCTCGTGTCAGAGAAAGATAATGCTTTTCGAAAATCTTTCTATAGCTATTATATGTTGCGATGAAACTGCAGAAGCACTAAATCTACTACTGAAGTCTCTTCGTATGATTGTTAGCTTGAAATGTCGAACACATAGACATTCGCTGTACGAACCCGCTGCACTTAATCGTCACTCGATGTATCGATTTGGCACTGACAGATGTTCTTCGAATCTGATCGGTGATGATCGATGCCGGTGATGCTGTCACACCACCAGTGCTCGAACAACGAACCACTCGAACTCTCACTATACGCGCCTCGGCTCTGCCACATTGCAAGAATACATGCTCTACATGCTTGAATACACGCTTGATAACATGTCTTGAATACATGTCTACATGTCTTGAATACATGCTCTACAGAGCAAACGAAAGAAAGCTAGAATTAGAAAGCTAGAAACAGCTGCGAGCAGTACTTCGCAGTTATTGTATTACCGAATGTGGCGAGATCTATTTAACACTAAAGCATTTTTTTCGTGAAACATACTTGAGTGTTAAGATTAACATTAATGACATCAGAATAACATAAAAAAGATTCCCCCCAATATTTCTACAGTGTTCCCGGCGGGAATTCTCCAAGGAATCTTCTACGAATACGGGGTCCCACGGTGAGTCACTGTAGGCAAATTATGCTTATATACTCTGAAGCGAGCTGCAACTGCCAGCTATCTTTCTTCATCCTCTCTGTGTTTATGTTCTCACGCGAACACGCAGTTAAAAGGAGGCGACAGTATTTCGATCACCTGACGTCTATCGAAAACGCACAACACGCTTAAAACGTACTGGTGGGCTAGTTGGTGGATCACGACAGCATATGGCCGCGCACTCCACGTGAAAGAGTCCCGCGAAACAAACAAAGCAAAAAAAAAAGCTCAAACACACAAGGACTAAACTTTACAGCAGCCACGCGACACCCAATTTTCAGCCATAAGCCGCGTTATGCAGGCTAATCCTCGTGCGTTCACAAAGTTGAAGAAATGTTGGTGCAATCGGTTGAGCACCTAATTTACGTCGCAATATTTTTTTACGAAGATGCGAGTGGCCTAGGATAATAATACGTGGGGTTTTACGTGCGAACACCACGATATGGTTATGAGAGACACCGCAGTAGAAGGCTCCGAAAATTTCGGTTACCTGCTGTTTTTTTTTTTAAGGTGCACTGACACCGTACAGTACACGCGCCTTTACCATTTCACCTATGTCGAAAACCGACCGGCAAAACCGGGATCGAACCAGCGACCTTCGTGTCAGCAGCCGAGCACCCTAGCCACTGTTCCACCTATGGGCGGACGCGAGTGGCCTAAAGGTCGCGCAACACTGTATACCACTTGCTAGCCGGCACATGGCAAGCAGCTTGTTGTACGAGGATCTCAATGACGGCGAACAATTTTAACGCTATAGCGTTAAAGAGCTCTTTTCGCAGGAATTCCGGCGTCGGCGTCATTGGTTGCGAGCAAAAAAATCACCATCGTGTGCGTGACCCCCAAATTTACAAAGATGCAAATAAAATAAATAATAAAAAACTCCTGGTCTCAGTGAGGCTTGAATCGAGGAGGATTCAAAAAAATTGCTGGTGTGGAAATGATTGCGCAGAAGTTAAGCCGTTCCTCTGGCGAGATGGCGGCTGTGGCGGCCATCTTACTAGAGGCTTGATAAAGTATCACCGTTCAGCGATTAAAAAAAAAGGGAAGTTTATTGTACACTTAAATTGTATGTGCACAGACGAAACATCGAAAACAAGTAAAGACGGTGTATACATTTTACAAATTAGCACCAAAATTTAACTGATCACGGGGTATGCAAATGTTACAAGTAAAAGGAAAACTCAAATGAATCAACTTAATCACATTTTACAGGATAGCACTTATGCATGCGTACTATATAGAGTGGGCGCATGGCTAGTACGGGACAACTGGAAACGTCAGTTGTCCCTCTTACGAAGCAATCCCTCGCAAGCCCAACGAGTTTAATGTGGGAACTTTTTCGGGTCACATAGTGCTCCAAGTGCGTCTTAAAGTTCCTAGTTTTCCTTAGTGAGTCTCTAATTGGAGGCAAAGTTCCTTGAACATTCAGTCATCCATACTCGTTTCCATGTGTTATTAAGTCGGGAACAAGTATCTTTCAATACAGAACTAACGCAGCATTTACACAACATATCAGAGCCACTTGATCATCAAGTGGGCACTATCAGAAAAAGAGCACGTTTCAGCCATCTTGGCAGTGGCAAAAGGTGGCTTCGCCTCTGCTGGCAAGGCAATGCGGGAGCTTCCACTCCAGCAATTTTTCTTTAATCCTCTTCGGCTTGAATCTGGGTCATCTGCGGGGTGGCGAGCAAACGTTCTATGCAACAGTGCCACACATCTGCTGGGGAATACAATGAAAACGACTTGCACTGCTTGGAAAATGCAGTGAAAGTAATTTGCATGCCTTTGGAGCACACGCGTCCTGTATACGTGCTTCGCAATGCAATATGCAACATCGCAGTAACAATGCGCGCCATACAAGCGTACACATTGAGATCTGGAGCGAGAACGTGCGCTTATCACAAATTCTAAGTTTATCACGAATTCTAAGTTTAAACCGCAGAAAGCAACTAAAGCACTGCCACTTTACCTTAAGTCAACAAACCTGAGCGACCGCCTGTAGACTGTGTGTGCTCGCCGAGTGTGCTCGTGATTGTGTGTACCTTCTCATCTTTCTGCAACCTCTTTTCTCCCCTTGATCCCTTCCCCAGTGCAGGGTAGCAAACCGGATGTGCGTCTGGTTAACCTCCCTGCCTTTCCTTGCATCTTTATCTCTCTCTCTCTCTCTAAGTTTAAACGGCGGGCCACCCGATACAAAAGGCACACACGTTACTGCGCAATCAATGGCACGTAGTGGATGCGTAGATTTCGAGCTTGCTGCGCACCTGTGGTTCAAATCGTACTCCACATTGCACAGAATGGGGTCGTATTGCGGAATTTTCACGGACACAACACAAGCCGTTTCGAACTCGGCACACGCACTATAGGACAGCGTATCGTCTATCGCGTTCAACTCGTAAAGGCGAAGCTAAAGGGGGTCCCCCAATTTTCGTTTCCTGGTCAGCTGCGGGCATAATCAACGGCATTTCAGCTTCCTTCACCTTGGTATTGGACTTAAACAATATACAGTGGCTGAAACAATCGTAAGAAAATAAAACTCCGCTCCATACAGCGCATGACGTTACACACACCATGCATGGGGAAATGGCGGTCGCTGGCGGTAGGCGGGGCATGTAGACGGCGACTTATATGTCTTAATTTCGTACTGAAATGTCCTTAGTAAGGCAACTTTTCATATATTTAAAGGTACAATAGACTCTATACTTCGATAAATTTCACTGAAAATCACGAATTGGTGGGTGACCATGTGATGGTTCGTTTGACTCGGAAAACTTTGAACTCAGTGCTCGTGCATGTCTTTCTATTTCCTGCCGACCTTTTACGTAATGTGTAGGCTGCCGAACGCTATAATGCAGAATATGTTTAAAATCAGAGCTGCTGAAGCTGGGGGTAACTACAGACGGCGAACACAAAAACTCACCAAGCCATCCAACATACTACATTTCAATGTATACGCTGGCAGCGTATAATTTGAAATATAGTATAGTATAGTATGGTATGGTATAGTATAGTAGAGTAATATATAATTGTATGACGTAGTATCATACAGTACTGCATAACAAAAGGTTGAAGAGTAGTGGTGATGGTGAGGAGCAGGGAAGTGAGGTAGAGGACGGGAAAAGAGAGGGAAATGAGGAGGGACATACACTCGTTATATATATATATATATAACTTCGGTTGCCGCAAGGTTATAAATATGAAAGTAGATGCGCTTTCACATAACAACAGTTGTTATGTGAAAGCGCATCTACTTTTACACACACACACACACACACACACACACACACACACACACACACACACACACACACATATATATATATATATATATATATATATATATATATATATATATATATATATATATATATATATATATATATATATATATATATATATATATATATATATAGTTCGTTTACGTCTTGTGCAACCTAAATAAAACTAAATAAAACAAACTAGTTTCGTTGTCAGTGCATATAAACACTGCCTTTTACAGAACCTTAAAGAAAAAAGAATGTTCATTCCTTATTTACGCTTTGACAACTATATCTCTCACGACAGCTCCCTGAACTTCGGAGCCATTGGCATGGTGGTCGGACACGAAATGACTCACGGCTTTGACGACACAGGTAAAACAAAACAAAAAAAAAAACAGCGGGTGCCTGTCTACATTGTCTCCATTAGTTAAGTCAAACTAATGCAAGTTTGCCTCTTGTGGTCTTTGTTGTGCTCTTTCGTTCTTTAAGTTATAAGCTTATGAGCGTAACCTTATCACATTGTAGTGAACGCATCCCTTCGCCGCGGTATACGCCCGCAAGGTCCTCCAGTTAAGGGAGAAACAACAACAACAACAACAACGACAACAACAACCACGACGACAAGAACAACAACAACAACAGCGAGGTTGCATGGTGCAGTGTCTGACGTAAGAGCAGCCAAACGAACGGCGAGCGGGAACTGTGGCTTTATTATGCCAGCAACTAAAACGACAGGCGAACTTCCCGCGACAATGTTACAACAAGAAATGCCCGCGACAACGTTACAACAAAAAATGCCCACGCCAGCTACAATGCCGGAGCTATTTAAGCACATAAATGCTGACGACACAATGCATGCGTTGGAAGCTAATTTATGTATGTTACATAGTGAGTACCATTCAACACACACACACACACACACACACACACACACACACACACACACACACACACACACACACACACACACACACACACACACACACACACACACACACACGCACGCACGCACGCACGGACGGACACTTCGCCCCGCTAATCATCATTCACTCCGTGGATATGCTGTGAATTCGTTGTTTTGCTTCATACGCGTTGACTCCGCCGCTGACCACGTCTCGCAATTTATTATCAGGTTTCGCCAAATCTCGAAAATTTTCTTGGCTCATGAGACATATAGTGCTCTCACTTTAATATATAAACGCTGATATGCCTCGTCGCCCTCTAACTCGTTACTCAACCTTTTAATGGACGTCACAGTTTGGGCCGTCTCCTCTAGAAAAATGAAAAAAAAAATATTGGTCTCTACCCTTCTGTGGCGCTCCATTAGGTTCTGCTATCTTCTTTTCCAAACTGAGAAGAAAAAACAGAGAATGCTGTTTACAGATGAAGTAGCAATACTGTGGATATAAATCACAGAGCTTTGACTTCAATTAAAAAAAAAGAACCTCATTGTGATTTGTGAGCGGCTGTACGTCTCTTAATATAATGTATCTTTCACTGACATTACCACGTTTCTCTTATTTTTTTTTCAAAATTTCTCCAACAGGAAGTCAGTTCGACGCGGAAGGTGCCCTGAAACAATGGTGGAGCAACAAAACTCGCGAGGAGTTCATGAACAGAACAAAATGCTTCGAATACCAGTACGGAAACATCACCGACAAAGAAACGAACATGACGGTGAGACTAATTATATTCTGTACTTGTGATGAGGATGCGTTGATTACCCACAAAAAACGGTAGCTATAGGGGCCAGCCTTGATGCTTCATTGGTTTCCAAACTTTGCGGTTACCTATCAGCGAGAGAGAAAACTGCACTCCGTAAAGTCCGGCGAAGGTTGCATCGCGTAAGGTAGAAGAAGAATCGAAAGGAAAAGGAAGCATGCAACCATCTGTTTTATTTGTTAACCCTTTAGCCACCTTGCAATATTTCGCAGAACTGAACAGCCACATTTGCAGACTCCGCATCGCAGAGGGTGCAAATATGGCGGAGGTTGGCTGCACTATAGTAAAACGACCACCTCGGTAACTCATTAATCCCGAATTTCCGTAGTCGACGGAAATTCCCAAAGCTTCCTAGTCGACGAATTTTACAGGAAGCTTTCCTTTCGTGAAATTCGCACGTTATTTCCTTGCTTATGCGTTCTGCGAAATGGCAGACGACAATTTTCTTCCCTTCTTGCGAAGCTTCCTTATCCTTAGACGCTTCTGCAGAACTGAATAGTCAAAATAGCATTTAAACCAAAGCGTAAACTAAAGAAAACCTGACCGTTTCTTTTTTTTTCTTTCTCTGCAACGAGTGCAGCTAAATGGCAAAAACACTGTGGGCGAGAACATCGCCGACAACGGTGGACTCCGTTTATCATTCGAGGTAAGTGGCACCGTTTCAGAGAGTTCTTATGACTGTATACGATCTGTAAATGTCCGAAACGACGGTAACTCGAATCTAAGTGCTCTGAAAGCGGAGTGATTCGTTGCATTGTCGATAAATTCGTATACGGACAATGTTCATCGAATTGCCGAACACCGAAATTTTTCCCGCCACCGTCCAGCAATAATTGACTATGGTAATTTCTGTAGTGGAAGTGACTTTAGCAGAGGTTACGCTAATAGCTAAAAGTATATTGACAAAAAAACTTTGGCAGCGATGCCATTAACCTTCACAGCCTGTATGCGTTCCCGGGTGGGTGATTCTAGCGGGCTCACGTACTTATATAGACAAAATGCAGTGAGAAACATAGAGGAGAGAAATGGAGACTTTGCAGGTAGCGGAACGCTATCACGAGCTCGCACAGGCAATAAACCATGCATTGTTGCTGTTAACAAGAACAAACGCGAAAACGGCTCATAAACTTATTCAACATTGCCTGACTGTCCGAAAATTGTAAGCGGTTGTTCATCGAGGGAATATATAAACAAAAAAGGGAGAAGGATTAAGAGACGTGGTACAATTGTCCCCACCGCAGCAGTGCACGCTCGAGCAGCAGACACTTTTAACGGCGGTCATCAGTGAATGGGAGAGCCGTGAAGAGTAGCCATAGAGGACGAGGATAGCGGTTGACTGTTTACATGCAGGCGTAAAAAGGATATATTGCCTCCTAATTCGATATGCCACCCGGCACATTTAGGCTGTGCGTATAGCCTGACTGTGAGCGAACACCGGCGTAAGGTCAGAGACAGCAGCCGGCAGACGACGCCAGACTGCACGAGGAAATCGCACAGGGTTCCATGAGAGGCCTTGCGCGCTCGATTAGGGTCACGTGGTCATAGGAACGCCCCCGAGATATCTGCCGGATAGCCCGCTCTCGCGATATCAGCTTTATAAGTATACAGTCCTTCGTGCGGTATTTCGAAAGCACTTTAGGCCTCAGCAGAAAATGATCCAGAGTCTCATCTTACAATGTGTTGTCAAGTAAAAGTGTGCCAGATTAGCGAGTTTCTGTGGAATATCTGACCAAAACTAGATCGAAATTCATTCACTTCAAAAGAAAACATACGTTTTCAGTGCGCACAACGTTTCAGAAAGAAGTCAGATATCTGTGCTATCTGACTTCTTTCTCAAACGCTCTGTGTACTAAGAAAGTGTATTTCTTTCGAAATGCAATACCAACCAGCCCAACTAGCCGCTTTTTTTGCAGAATTAATTCCCGATGGCACAAACACCAGACTAGCAATGGATTTCTTGCAACAAGAGATGCAGAGTATGACGCCAAAATCATTGTTTCACGTTCGCATGCTTCGTTGCCCGTAAACCTTCTTTACAACAAAAAATTGTGTCCAGATTTTTACAAGGGACGTTCTTTATAGCAGTTTGCTGAAGGAAGGTCTCTTGTAATGAAATTTCGTTTTCCTTTTTCAGGCGTATAAAAGTCTTCTTGAAGTAGAGTACGGAAACGTAGATACTCGCTTAAAGGGCATGGAAAATGTCACCGGGAAGCAGCTCTTCTTCCTGTCAAATGGAATGGTATGTACTACGTCAATAACGCTTCTCTTTAATGAACAAAGTTGATCACTTCATTTGAATGTAGCCTACGGACGGAGAGTGCATGAGAATATTGGCCGTTGCTTCATCCCCACAGACGTGGTGCAGCTTGACCAGGCCCGAGTACCTGAAGGTGTTGATCCAGTATGACCCGCACAGCCCAGGCCGATACAGGTAACTCGAAAGTGTATTTCCATCAAACTGCTAAGCAAGACAGGGTACAAAGAAGGAAGTGGGTGATATGCAGTATAGTGTAGCCAGGGGGTGGCCGACCGGGCTAGCTCGTGCCCTGTTCGAAATTTCTTTTTTTCCACCATAGCATACAGCGTGAAAATTAGGCATTTCAAATAGGTGCCCGCTTTCCACAAATACGTTTCGGCCTACACCACTAGTCAGATAAGAACAGGCTCTTAATTAGGTTCCTCTACCCCTCCACCCCCCCACCCCCCCCCCCAAAAAAAAGGGGGGGGGGGTCCCATAAAACCACCTTTGTCGAGACGACTCTGTTTACTGACATGCCATAAAGCTTCATAAGAAATGAATCGTTACGTAACAAACAACTCGCCCAGCTTCATGCCTTAACTTTCAAACCTAATGCTTTGTCGCGTTCAATATCGACTGAGAGTTTACGGCATTCAGCGAGCAGCAACGAGAAACAATTGTAACAACGCAGTAATCGTGTTGCTCATGGGACGTCTTCCAGGGCTCAGAATGTATGAGACCACTGTTAGCACTTTTCTGCGCTTCCTTACGGAAACTAGACTGAGCGAAGCACTGCGACAGCTAATTCATTGTATTAGTGTGTTGCTATTGGGACTAGCGCGATATCGCTACCTTTGTGGAAGTGTTACATGCACTATTCTCATCATGTATTATTTCTCAACCCTTTTCCTTTCTCAAGTACAGTGTAGCTTGAGATGTTGCTCATAAATGGGCGACACCTCAAGCACCAAGTGGTTTACGACGTTTGTATATATATATATATATATATATATATATATATATATATATATATATATATATATATATATATATATATATATATATATATATATATATATATATATATATATATATATATATATATATATATATGAAAGTAGACGCGCTTTCACATAACAACTGTTTATTGTGCCGACGTTTCGACGGGAACCCCGTCTTTTTCAAGGCATAAAAGACGGGGTTCCCGTCGAAACGTCGGCACAATAAACAGTTGTTATGTGAAAGCGCATCTACTTTCATGTTTATAACCTTGCGGCAACCGAAGTTATTCTTCTGCATATATATATATATATATATATATATATATATATATATATATATATATATATATATATATATATATATATATATAAAGAATTTTCATGGCATTATTTTATATGTGTCATCAACTGTTGCTGTTAGTACTGTCCTATTTAATCTGCCTTCAGCCTTGACATGTAACACGTTGAAATTAAACAATAAATAAATAAATAAACTAGAGATTTCCTCTGGTTAACCTAGCTGTCTTTCCTTTTTTTCTTTTCTCTCTCTCTTTCTCTGATTGTATAGGGAGGTGGGAGTACAACGCACCTTTCCAGATGCTCATGAACATCCGCGTTTCAATCATTTTTTTTTCTGTAGGGTCAACTTGCCCATGTCAAACATGAAGGCCTTCTCCGAGACCTTTAACTGCACAGCAAACTCAACAATGAACCCCACACAACGGTGCCACTTGTGGTGAAGATTCATCAACGGTAACGCGAAAGCGAGGCTACGGAGTTGTCTACGTTTTCGTATTGTGCGAGCACCACGACTTGAAAACTCGCTCGTAAAATAAACAATGAGCTCCATGCGGTCAGTGACGGCGTCCTTTATTGTAAATAAAACTGCTCACACAAGTTCAGACTGCTCATCATACAGAAAAAATACGTGGCATGTCCATTTGCGCACACTGAACAATCACGTGTTTAATTTGAACAGCAAACTAGAGAGGCTTGCAGCATGATTCTAGGGACATTGGAAACAGCAACATGTTTGATGGGTCATGGTCGTTTATAGTCTTCCCTCTGGGACACTCACATTGCCCGCAGTAGTTCAACGAGTCATCGCTTTCTGTATGGAAAGCTTACAATGCTAATCGCTTTGTGTGAGGAAAAAAAAGACAAATGAATGATCTCCGAGTTCTCTATTTCAGGTTTCATAATATTGTGAGCGACGACTCATGAATGCAACAGCAACTCGACAGCGTTTAATGGTGCGCCTACACGGTTGAAGCTGTTCGACACAAAAACCCACCAAATCGATTGGTCCGCACGCAGCGGAATCGGGCTACTGTAATCTACACACAAAATTAATTTTGACTTTTTTTTGAAGAGTTAATAATTTTCTTTTCGAGCTGTTCGACCAACCTCCCCGCGTAATGAAGAAAATCGGAAGACTTCTCAGCTAGTATAGTAACTGATATAGGCTCTTCATACACATGACGGTCAGCTTCCCTGCGTTTTCCTTTTCACATATTTTCTCTCTCTCTTTGTACACAAAAACGAAGAGAGAGAAGAAATAGAGAAGGTAAGGCCGGGAGGATAACCAGTTAAGGACAACCGGTGTGCTTCACTGATGATAGGAATAGGATGGGGGAGATTGAAAGTTGAAGAGAGAGAGAGAGAGAGAGATACGTCTTTATTCACAAAAGCACGGAGAAGGAGGGCGTGGGAGGAACCCCTAGTCTGGGGTCCCTAGGACGACTCCAGCCACGAGTCGGGCCCGCTGTATCAGAGCTCGGTGGATCTCGGGAGGTCCATCGCGGAGGGCATCATCCCACAGCTCCTCGTTACGTAAAGGGTGAAGGAAAGCAGGTAAGGGAGGAAGAGAAAGACAGCATATATAACACATCACACGCACAGCCAGTCAGAGTCCATCTCTGCTGCGCCGTATTACACATAAACGTCACAGCCACTTGCCCAAGTCAGTTGTTCTTAACAACCTCCGAAGCGCCTTTACACCTTCAGCCGCGATTTCTTCGGCAAAGATATGAATGAAAGGTTTCAAGAAACATTGGTCTATTGTCAAGGTGAGCTACAGCAGACGCCAGGGGCTGTCTATGAGCAATACATTTATGGAGAATCGCACAGAATGCGCTGTAGCGTCTCTTCACAGCGACAGGAATCGCAAGGAGAGTTGTCGACCGTTCCAATGCGGAATGAGAGAGATTTTGTGAATGTCACGCTTGGCCATAAGCGGTAAAGCGGAATGGCCTCTCTTCGGCGGAGTCCAGTTGGCATTAAGAGATGCATCAGAGAGTTGAGTTGAGTTGAATAAACTTTACTTGCCCAGCGGTTGTTGCTGTGCTGCATCAAAGAGGACAGTCGGCATTGACGATTGGGTTTTGTTTGACTGTTGAGATTAGAAGCACAGCTGCAGATATATAAAAACTTGTAATGCGAATAGACCAGACATATCTCCAAGTGAACACGACCTCCGCAATAATGAATAAAATACAGCCGTCAATTAGTGAGCAGATAAGCAATCTATTGCGGCTCTGTGAAACCCTTAGTATTATCCTACTGCGAATTTATATGTCTTTGTTACTTCACGTTGAATTGGACAGCTAGAGTACACAAATCATTTATTTTTGATAACACAGGAAGCAGGTATAACACGTATGAGTAAGAAGTATATCCACAGCAACTTCGGCGATGAAAAGTGAACTGACTACGTTTTGTTTTACACTTTTTTTATACAGCCATCAAAGTAGTTATAACAATCTCGACATCATAGACGCTTAAAGATGTATGTTCATGCGTGAGCATCCCAGTCAGCTCAGTCTGACGCAAACGCTTCCGCTTTAAAACCATGTGGTGATGCACTGTGCGCGCAAAGTTCATCTTGCGTTGAGGCGGTTTCGAGAGAAAAAAAAGAAAAGGTCTGTCTTGAGACACGCAATAAGATTGAAGGATCTCTCTTTTTTGTGTGTGTGACCTTTAAACTTGACCTATTCATGTTGCAAAATTAACACGAATAGGTCCAAAGTAACGTGAATAGGCTTACGTGTATCTGATACGAAGATTCAGATACACGTCAAGAGACAGCAGGTGGTCCGCAGCCCTCCCACGTGTTGTGCCTTATTAACACGTCGTAATTTGGACACGCAATAACCCCACAAACTATTATTTCTGGGCTTTACGTAAAACCACTTTCGTTCAAACGAACACCAGTTTTTGAAAAAGCATTGTTTACTATTGATAATATCCGGTACCAGTTGTCATATAATATAAAGTCAAATCTAATAAAAGTGTTCTTTAAAGGAAATTTCTCGAGAAGGAGCCTAATTCGAGACACATAAACTTCGGGAAAAATACACTTCATTACTTCTTACCGCTTTATTACTTAACGCTTATTATAGACATTTTTCATGTGTCTGTTCTTACGTGTGAGTGCCTTATTTCTCTTTTTTCTTAGTTTCCTCTCGCCTCTTTTTTTTTCTCCTGCCTTCTTTTCCTCTATGTCTCCCCTTCCCAAGGAGCCGGCGGGCGTTGTGTCCCTCTAGGTGGTTCCCTCCCCATCTAAGCCGGTTCCCTCTCTATTTCCTCCGTGTTTTCGTGTTTTCTTTGTACACAAACAAAATAAAAATAATATTTGTGCACCTTACTAATTACGGTGCACAAAAATTAGCTCACGAAATCCCGCATTTCCTTAGCGAGCACCTATAACTGAGCAAGAACATCATTGCTTACTCACTCAAAACACGATTCATTTATGTCTTCAAAAAAAAAAAAAAAAGGGATAGATGTCTTCCTTCAACAAGTTCAAACTGGACTTGACACCACTTTCAATTCCTCCACTTATCTTATATAGCTCGCTCGTGATGTATGCATAGGCTGGCGCTAAGTTCCCCTTTCAAAGAGGGCGAAAGTTGGTCGCCGCCACCCACCCCTCCCTAATACGTCAATGTATGGCACTGGCTCTGCGCACCCCCCCCCCCCCCCCCTCTTTCTGTTAGGTGACTAGGGAGGCGCAGTGAATGAATGAATGAATGACGATTACTATGAATCAAGTTTGATGGGGCCGAATCATGTTGGTGGTGGACGCAAGCACCAGACAGAGTGGTTCCCCGTATATTTCCAGCAGTACCAGCCGTTGTCGTTACGAGTCGATGTCACTTAAGAACAATAACACAACACCAACCCTACCCACACCTCCCATTACCCCTGCTGTCCATTTCTCTACCACGCAAAAAGCAGACTGCGTCGGGTAGAGCCGCATGTGGTCAACCCGTGCCGCACACTGTTAACCTGCCGGCCGCTCTTAATGTGCAGATATAGCCAGAAAACTGGGTATTTTTTAGTCTTGAAACAGGGTTTATTGGCGCAGAGAGAGAGAGAAGGAATGTAGGAAAGGTAGGGAGGTTAACTAGACTATGCGTCCAGTTTGCTACCCTACACATGGTGAGGGGGAGGGGGGAGGGGACACACGAATCACAGTCCGAGGACCAACAGCTCGCGCTCGGCTCCTCTTGCCAACGTCGTGACCCAGTGTGGCACATAACATTCTTCCTCTCTACAGTCTGCTTTCCTCGATATAGCCGGCGTCTTACACGGAGCTGATTGAATGTGCAGACGACCGATTGATTAGTTTTCGTTCGTCTAACCCCCCCCCCACCCCCCCCCCCCACCCCAAAAAACAACAAATAAACGCGTAATATCAGAAATGAAATCTAACCTTGACCTACCCAATTTAACTGTCCGGAGGAAACTGGCGCGACTGCATTTTTTTCATAAGATATTTTTTCACAATCCAACAATGAAGCGAGACCTCATTTCACAACCGTCATACCACTCATCGCGCATTGATCATCAGCATAAGGTTGCCATTCCGTTTTGCCGCACCAAATTCTTTTCAGCAGCCTTCTTACCGAAAACAGCCGCCGATTGGAACCACCTTCCCTCTTCCGTTGTAACAATAATAGACCCTTTGTTATTCAAGACTGCAATTTCTCAGCAATGTTTGTAACTATACGCAGTTTCCATTATCTATCTTTGTCTTGTATGTGCTTGAATTCTTACTTATACATTTTTAGTTGATTTATGTTGCCTTCGTGATTTGCGCATCTGACACTTGTTTCTTTTCTTTGTCTTTTTTTCTTGTCTTTATTCCTTTGTGTGTTATAAATTTGTACCCACCCCCTCTGTAATGCCCTACGGGCCCTGAGGGTATTATAATAAATAAATAAATATCCGATAATTGAATAATGACGAGCGGACGGAGCAGTAGAATCGTTCGGTATTACCGTAAAATCACCCGTCACGTTAACCACTCACGAATGTAAATGAGTGACAAAGCGGTGTACGGTTACATACAATGCGAGTTGTGAATTTCGTTTTGCGTTCGTTTATGAGTCATCGTCATGACGTGTAGTGAGAATATTTGGATGTGCTGTGCCGTGACGGCAGACAGAGAACGTGTGGTCTGGACCGTGCTTGTTATTCATCGTCATCAGCATCGTGGTCATGAAGGCTACGGCACACGCCAACGCCGAGGGGTTTCACTGCCACCATGTTGGGCTGTTAATTTTTGAATTATGCATCTTTAAGAACTAAACTCTCTCTTTCTTTCTCTTCTTTAAAGGAGATGGATGGATGGATGGATGGATGGATGGATGGATGGATGGATGGATGGATGGATGGATGGATGGATGGATGGATGGATGGATGGATGGATGGATGCATGCATGCATGGATGCATGGATGAATGGATGGATATGGCTATACCCTTTAGATCGGGCGGTGGCTGGCGCCACCACACCGTAATACTTATTGAACCAAAAACTAGATTTATTTTTTTTCCCCTTTAAACA